CCCGTGAGCCTGTGACTACCCCCCTGTATCCTCAGGTCTGCCCCTGGCATTCCTGTCACTAAGTCACTTTGAAAGCCTTGGCCCAGCTTCTCATTTTTTCCACTCAGAGGCCAAGGCTATTTGTAGTCGCTCCACCTGTCGCCATGCGTGCTGGGCTGCCAAGGGCGAGCGTGGCCCTCCTTCCAGCCCCTTTAGGACACCCCGCTTTCTTTGAATGTCCACGTTGGGGACCCTTTCAGATTCCTTACGGCTCTTCACCCGCGCAGTGTTCCCTGGTAACTAACATTGGTAGCTGCATATTGAGTTAGTTCTTCTTAGGGTCTCGATTCATCCTCATTTGTAAAAGAGGAATCGTTGCTAATTTGCTAATTGCAAAATATGCTCGTGATTAAAGAAGTTACTGCATGAGTCTAAGCCAGTGGTTCTCAACCTTCTGGCCCTTTAAATACAGTTCCTCACGTTGTGACCCGACCGTAAAATTATTTTCGTTGCTACTTCATCACTGTCATGTTGCTGTTGTTATGAATTTTAATGTAAATATGTGATACGCGGGATGGTCTTAGGCGACCCCTGTGAAAGGGTCTTTCGAACGCCAAAGGGGTCCCGACGCACAGGTTGAGAACTCTAAGCGGTACAAATGTTCTAAAAGGATCATTACAGCCCAGCTGGTGTGTCTCAGTGGTTGAGTGTCCACCTATGAACCAGGAGGTCACGGTTGGAGCACATGCCCAGGTTGTGGGCTCAATCCCCAGTGGGAGTGGGGGGGGGGGAGGTGTGTGTATAGGAGGCAGCCAATCAATGATTCTCTCTCATCATTGATGTTTGTTTCTCTCGCTCTCTCTCTCTCTCTCTCTCCCTCTCCCTTCCTCTCTGAAATCAATAAGAATACATTTAGAAAAAGAAAATAGAGAGATGCAAATAAGCGTCTGAAAGATGCTCTACGTCCGTGTCATCAGGGAACTGAAAATTAAAACAGCAGCGAGGCACCGCTGCTTACCTGTTAGAATGGCTACGTCCCACCTGCTGTCGTGTTCCTTCCGCTTGAAGGATTTCTTTTACCCTTTCTTGCTGGTGGTGAACTCCTCCAGGTTTTATGAGCCTGAAAAAGTACCTGCCTTCGTTCTGTACTATATCTTCACTGCGTGTAGAATTCTGAGTTTACAGTGTTCTTTTAATACTTGAAGATGGTCACCTGCTGTCTTCACCTCACAGTGCTTCCGGATTCTGCTGGAACCCTCACCTGCTTATAACCTTACCAACCCCCCACCGCCACCCCACACCTCCCGGGTAAAACATGTCTTTTTTCCCCTGGCTACTTTTAAGATTTTCTCTCTATCATTGATTTTAAGCAAATTGGATAGGGCTTTCTTCATGTTGCTTGTGCTTCAGGTTCACTGATTATCTTGGATCGATGAGTTTATAGTCTTTGTGAAGTTCAGGACATGTTCAGCCATTATTTCTTCAAATGTTTTTTTTTCTGTTCCCTCCCTCAGCCTTCTTCTTGAGGGATTAGTCACTTGCATATTACGTTGCTGGAAGTCCCACCACTCACTGATATTCTGCTTTTGTTTTGTTCTTTAAGTTCTTTTTTCTTGCTGTTATACATTTCAGTGATGTCTCTTGCTAAGTCTTCAAGTTCACCAATCTTACTGACGACCACTTTTGTTGTTGTTAATCCTCATCCGAGGATATTTTTCCTTTGATTTTTAGAGAGAGTGGGAGGGAGAGAGGGGAGGGACAGAGAGAGAGAAACTTCGATGTGAGAGAGACACATTGATTGGTTGCCTCCCACACATGCCCTGACCAGGGCCGAGGATCAAGCCTGCACCGGAGGCACGTGTCCTTGACGGGAAACGAACCCAAGACCCTTCAGCCCACGGACCCATGCTCTTTCCACCCCTCCATTCCCCGTGGTTCGCTGTTATGAACTCTTCGGAGTGTTTTCTTCTAAATACAAACATTTGAAAGACATATGTCATTTTGTTCCACAAAAGATATCACTTTTGCAGGGAAATCATGTTACATTCAAAGCGGAAGTTGCACACTAGTTCAGATAGTTTAGTTCTAAGTTTTTTAAAAATAGGACTTATTATGTGTGACTGTGCGTACAAAAATTCTGAAAGCATTCACAGGAATCTGTCAACACTAATTGTCTGCAGGGTTGAAGAAAGTCTGACATTTACAAATGTACATTTATAACAAACAAATTGAAATACCTTCAAGCTGTTGAATAGGCAGGCCCCCTACACGTCCTTTGTCACTTTCTTAAGGGACTCTGAAACCCCCCATCAACATCCTCAATAGGAGAGAGAACAGTGGGCAGAGGAGAATGAGTGTTGAAGACGTCAAGGATTTCATGTTGTTTTAAGTTCGTTCTTCGCAATAAATAACAACAGTGGGATTGAATTTTATCTCTTCTTGACCCTCGCTGCTGTCTGGTTCATGTGTTCATCGACCTTCTGACCGACAGCAAGTTCAATGGGAGCCAACTGTAGGCGGACAAAACGTTGAATGCAAAGTTAAACTGGATTAACAGATAAGATTTCATTTCTTGATGATCTATTGTTCTCTGGCGAGAACACCCCTGTAGTCATAGAGGCGCTCATTTGTCATAAACATAACAGGTACTAACTGGGAAAAACAAGTAGCACAAAACCACATGGAATAAATGGTTGAAGTTCCCCGTCTTTCCACCCTCCACTCCCCACAGCTCATGGTTATGAACACGTTGGAGAGTTTTCTTCTAAATACAAACATTTCAGAGACATATGTAACTTTCTTCCACAAGAGAAGTCACTTCTGCAAAAAAAAAAAAAAAAAAAAAAAGCACGACATACAAGTTTAGAGATGTCCCATCACTTCCTTCATCAGCCTCTTCCACACCCAACATCTGTCCATATCTGTTGGGTAGATTCATAAAAACGGGTTTTCTGGGTCGAAGGGTCAATTTACAGTTCTTTTTTTTTTATTTTATTGATTTTTTACAGAGAGGAAGGGAGAGAGATAGAGAGTTAGAAACATCGATGAGAGAGAAACATCGATCAGCTGCCTCCTGCACATCTCCCACTGGGGATGTGCCCACAACCCAGGTACATGCCCTTGACCGGAATCGAACCTGGGACCTTTCAGTCCGCAGGCCGACGCTCTATCCACCGAGCCAAACCGGTTTCGGCAATTTGCAGTTCTTGACAAATCTTTTCCAAAAAGATTGCATTGGAATGACATTTTAGAAAGAGTATACAGAAACATGCAGAAGTGTGTCCAGAAAAAAAAAAGAAACATTAAGAAAGTAAAAAGACCGACCTGTTGAATGTATGGGTTTTGTAATGACCCACTTTGTATTTGAGCTGTGTGAGCTTGGATGGGTTATATAACCTCTTCAAGTCTTGAAAGTCTTTCTTTCATTTATTTCCCCCCACATAGGAAGGCACATTGGTGCCTTTTTAAAAATCTCATCTGAAACTTGAAGTTTCTGCAGTTAAATTTGATGACTAAGACGTGCAGATCTTGTCATTGTTGATCAAATTTCTCATAGTGAGATTTTACTGATAAACTTGTTCAGAGAGTATGATTTCAACCCCAAAATATAAACTTTAAATCCCAAGCAAATTCGCCAGCCGCTGTTTCCAGGGATACTCATTCCTTCAACAAAAATTTGAGCACCCAGAGTGAAACAGGCACAGTTTTAATCGCTGGCAATTCTAGCTGTGAACAGGACAAAATCCTGCCCTTGTGGATTTTCCCATCCCAGCCCAAATGCTTTATTAACTGTTAATGCGATGTATTTGCTAATTTGCCAAAGACTTTTTGCAGAAATAAAACGAAGGGATGTAAAAATTCTAAGGAGCAATAATGATAAATCCAGGCATACTCTCAGCTTGAAACACGTCAATAAATTAGTAACCCGGAACCACAGTTGTGTAGCATCTGTGAGCAACTCTCATTCAATCAGAACACAAGCTTCAGGTAGTAAGAGCCCTGCCTATGAGCTCATCTCTATATCTCCAGGGCCTAACGCAGTGTTTAGGTTACAGCAGGCTCGTCATAAATGTGATGACAATTTTCAAATTGTTTGTCCCAAGTGACCTTTCCGTGGTTCCTGCAGGGAAGAGCTAGCCAACGAATCGGGATGAAAAGACTTCAGTGGACACATCAGGGCGAGGTGGACATGTAACAGGAAGCTGGCTGCCGGTCCTCCATCGCCAGTTCTTTTAAGTGGATGAGGGGCAGGCGAGGACTGACCCTTCCTGCCATGGTTTGGGTTCCTGACATTTTAAGATGGTGGGTCCAAGTCCCTTGCCTCGATTTCCCCAGGTGAGGACCCAGAGGACGGGGAGAGGAGAGAATTCTGTGGCTCTCAAACGTTACTTTTTAGGGGTGTATGTGTGACGTGTGTGAGAGCTAGCTAGTGAATGTGTTCAGCTATACGGAAAAGGTGAATATGCACACGATGTATGGAAAACGTTGGGGGTGGTCAGGGACCCAGGCTGTGGGGGATCCTCCTGGCCTATGTACACCCACCCATCAGGGTGCTCACCCAGTTGCCCGCGGGTCCAGCCGCAGGAGCCTGAGGGACAGATGGGCGCGGTGGGAGCGGGGTCCCCGAGCCGTCAGGAGGCCCTGCACCTCGCACCGCCGCCCAGCTCCTGCTTGATGCGGGCCATGGGCGCGGATGAGCGGCGTGCGGGCGTGGATGGGCGGGAGGTAGACAGGGAGTGGGCGGGGCGAGGGCGCGGATGGGTAGAGAGGGAGTGGGCAGGGCGAAGGCTAGGGTGGGCGGGGCGTAGGCAGGGAGCGGACGGGGCGAGGGCTAGGGTGGGCGGGGCGTAGACAGGGAGTGGGCGGGGCTAAGGCTAGGGTGGGAGGGGCGTAGACAGGGAGCGGGCGGGGCGAGGGCTCGATGGGCGGGGCGTAGGCGCGGGTGGGCGGGGCGTGGGCGGGGCTCGCAGCCACGTGACGGGACGCGGGTATTAAGCGGTGCTGAGCCGCTGGCCGCGGAGCAGGTGCTTCGCCCCGACCCAGCGCCCGCCCGCCCTCCTCCTCGAGCCTCCGCGCCACCGCCCGCGCCCACCGCGTCTCAGCGCCTCCGCCGCCGCCTGTTAGTCCAAGTCCGCTCGCAGCCCCCGACACCCAGCGCCATGAACCAGATCGAGCCCGGCGTGCAGTACAACTACGTGTACGATGAGGACGAGTACATGATCCAGGAGGAGGAGTGGGACCGCGACCTGCTGCTGGACCCCGCCTGGGAGAAGCAGCAGAGGAAGGTCAGCCGGCGTGCCGTGTCCCCCCGTGTGTCCGTGTCCCCCACGGGTCTGTCCCCCACGTGCCGTGTTCGTGCCCTCGGGCGCCAGCCGTGGGACGAGCTGTCCGGTCCTCGCAGCCGGGCGCCGGGTGAGAGGGGGCACGTCCGGGAACAGGCATGAAGAAGCCAGGTGTCCTGTGTGCGCGCGTGTGAGTGACAATAGAGGACAAAGCGAACGGTGTTCAATGGTTCTGTCCGACTCCCATCAGACCAGACCCTGAGCCCGTGACCTTGGCCCCCGAGTTCCGCCTCCTGGCCCCGCTGCGCTCACAGCCTGCCCCCCAACAGCCGCCGAAAACCCTTTCCCGAGTGTCCCGGGCTCCTTCGAGGGGGTGCTGCCTGAACCCTGGACACTCACGATAACGCCATGATGATTCACACTCTATTTATGGGTCCCTGAGGTCAGTGCCCGGGCCAGGGGCTGAGCCAGCCTTCAGCGCCCCGTGCCACCCCTGTTGGCACTCCCGGGGGCCCAGTGGAACATTCCACTCTTCAGGGTTTCTTCCTGATCCCTTGGCTGGGACAAGCAGGGATGCTCACCAGGAAGATAATCCCCCTCTTGCTGCCAGCGCAGACCTGCTAACCCAGCCTACGAGGACCTGCCCTGGCAGAGCAAGGCGCCCTGTGCTTCCCCCTACTTGGGGGGTGTGGGGGGGAGGGAGGGGGGAAGCAGCATGGATTTCCCTTCTTAGGTCCTGTTGCTAAGTGGATGACCTTTGTTGACCACATGTGTGCATGGAAGTGTGTGCATGGGAACCGCCACACCGACACTGTGCGTGATCACACCGTAGTTCACTCGAATCAGTATAAGATTGGGAGACACATCCGTCCTTCCCTCCCAACAGAATGTTAGCTGGAAGGAGAGAGATCTCATATTTGGATAATTATTAAATAACCCAAGCAGCATTTCTGTTTTATTGTCCACCGTCTCTCTTAAAATACCATTATTATTATTGTTGTTGTTGTTTTAAGCTTGAATTTAGCTACATTTCATTTCCCACCTTGGTTCCTAAGACTTCCAACCATCCCTACCTTCTTGGAAACAAGAGAATGGAAGTCATAAGTAGAAGTTGAATCTATAAAGGAAAAAATGAAAATCTCAAACCTTCCATGGTCTTTAATGACTTATTGCGAGGGAGATGTGTGGGCTGAGGATTATTAATGTGTCATTTGGACGAGCTGATGCATCACCGATCAGCAAGATGTGAAAAAGTGACTCTGATTCCTAGCAGTGAGTGTTTCTTTAAAAAAAATTTTCTTACAATTTTGATTGTTACATTTTTCATGGGTTGAAAAAACTTCTTTGTTTCAAAGATTGCTTTGTCCAGTGTAATAGCTAAGGAATTGGACAGATAGCCGGGGTCATGTGGTCATTGCCCATCACTTTTTAGAATAGAATAATCACAGCAGCTTCTGTTGGTTTTTAAAGTATGGTACAGTCACAGGTACAGTCACAGAATAGTGCTAATGTCCGTTCCCAAATATCGACATAAGTCTTCTGCCATATTTAATTTTTTAAAAATGTATTCACAATATTTTTGGATATAATGGCTTTGCAATTTTTTTTTAGGTGTTGGTTTCCTGTGTTACTATTATAATTGTCTAGCACTTGAAGTATATCATTAAGAGATGATTATACTTTCTGATCCCGATTCCAGGTCATGCTAGAACATTCAAAAATGAGAATTTATTTTCTTTCGTAAGATAGGCTGAGTGTTGTAGACACTGGGAGGAAACACACAGGCCCGAGCAGCTCCGGAAGGACCTCTGCTTCCACTTTTGGTATAAACGACTCGGGTCCCGGAGATAATATGGACCCGCGAGGGCCGAGCAGCCAAGCCCCGGCCTCTATTTCTGTCCGATGAGACACGCTGTTGGAACAGGGCGAGGGTGAATGCCTTTGCTTCTATTGTGGGCCACCTTCTCCACACTTGCCATTTCAGTGATATGCCGGGTATGAGATCTGTCAACAGATGCTGGTAGCACATGATGACGTCCGCAGGGTTAGGACGGACGCGGCGCCTAATTATAGCCAAGTGCAGAGTCTCGGGCTGTGGCCACCTTCACTGAGGAAGGATTTAGTAGAAGTGTAGCGCTGTTTTTTTTTTTTTAAATAAGAAATTAAAAAAAAATATGCATATATATATATATTGATTGATGGATTACAGAGAAGAAGGGAGAGGGAGAGAGAGAGACATCAATGATGAGAGAGAATCATGGATCAGTGCCTCCTGCACGCCCCACACTGGGGATAGTGCCTGAAACCCGGGCCTGTGCCCTGACCTGGGAATTGAACCATAACCTCCTGGTTCATAGGTCGACACTCAACAACCAAGCCACACTGGCCGGGCGAGAGATTTTTTTTTAAATTGTGGTAAATTCATATAACAAAATTTACCATCTTAACCATTTGCAAGGTCACAGTTCACTTGGATTAAGCACATTCACTTTGTTATGTAACCACTTCCTAAACTCGTTTTATTTTGCTGAATGCAACTCTGTGTACCCAAGAGCCCATAGCTTTCCATTGTCCCCTCTCCCAGCTCTGGCAGCCGCCTCGCACCTCCTGGGGCTATGACAGCCCCTCCCGGTGCGCCCTGTGAGTGGGCCTTGCAGTATTTAACCTGTTGTGACTGGCTTACTTTACTGAGCAGAATGTTTTCCAGGTTCACCCACGTAGTAAGTAGCCTGTGTTAGAATTTCCTTCCTGTTTAAGGCGGAATACTATTCCATGGTCCGGACAGACCACATTCTGTTTATCCTTTCGTCCGTCGAGGGGCGCCTGGGCTGCTTCCATTCTTGGGCTGTCGTAAATAAATAATGCGGTTGTGAACGTGGGTGTGCAAACATCTCTTTATGACTCTGCTTTCAATTTTGTTGGTTTCACCCCCAGAAGTGAAATTTCTGGGTCCTGTGGTCATTGTTTTCAACTTTATGAAGAAGTGGGATCCTTTATCCAAAAGTGGGAAATGCGGACGATGTTGCATTTGTCATGGGGACGTACAGGCATTCCCAAGCGCCCCCCTTCTCTCTCAGGGCTGTTTAGCAAACAGGGGTAGGAATATTTGTATTCACATAACGTAGGCTCTTTGCATGGGACTTTAGAAACTTCCAGAGCTTCGGTGTTTACAGCGGTTCTCAACCTGTGGGTCGCGACCCCTTTCACAGGGGTCGCCTCAGACCATCGGAAAACACACATATAATTACGTATTGTGTTTGTGATTCATCACCATGCTTTAATGATGTTCCATTTGTCACAATGACATTGGGGGTCACCACAGCATGAGGACTGTACTAAAGGGTCGCGGCATTAGGAAGGTTGAGAACCGCTGGTGGAGAAGCAAGCTTGCCCTGGCACCTGAGGACCACATTCAGCCCCTCATCGCTCCGAAGCCCGATCCCGAGGTGACCGGCCAGGACAGCAATGCCGAGTATGTGCGCTATCTCCCCACGCAGGGCGCTGTCCGCCGCTGCGAGGCTGGCGCGGACCTTTTAAGGAAGTGGCTCCTGTTTCCGTACATAAGGGGCCTTGCATTCTCAGTATGTGGTCGGCTAGAGGATGGGTCAGCGCCGCTGGCAGCTGTAGGAAGCATGGGAGTCCTTCATGGGGTCCACATTCAGACTTCCGATCGGCTTCCATCATTCCTAGAGAAACTGAAGTTCTGCATACGCTCAGTTTAAAAAGTATATTTGTATTGATTTCAGAGAGGAAGGGAGAGGGAGAGAGAGATAGAAAACATCAATGATGAGAGAGAATCATCGATGGGCTGCCTCCTGCACACCCCCTACTGGGAATCGAGCCCACAACCTGGGCATGTGCCCTTGACTGGAATTGAACCTGGGACCCTTCAGTCCGAAGGTCGATGCTCTAGCCCAGCCGTGGGCAAACTACGGCCCGTGGGCCGGATCCGGCCCGTTTGAAATGAATAAAACTATTGAAATAAAAGACCGTACCCTTTTATGTAATGATGTTTACTTTGAATTTATATTAGTTCACACAAACACTCCATCCATGCTTTTGTTCCGGCCCCCCGGTCCAGTTTAAGAACCCATTGTGGCCCTCGAGTCAAAAAGTTTGCCCACCCCGGGTCTACCCCTGCGCCAAGCCAGCCGGGGCAGTAATGTGTTCATGTAACCAGTTAGCATGCTCAAAGCACCCTGACCTCACACCCATTATTTCATGGGACCCTCTTACCCACCCACAGGGATGAGGGCAGCAGCTGTGTCTGGATGTGACTGCTACTCAAGATGTGACGGAGGGGTGCGGTGGAGGGGTGCAAAGAGGAGATAAGCTCCACTGAAGCTAAAGATGCAGCTTCAGCCCAGCTGGTGTGGCTCAGTGGTTGAACATTGACCTAGGAACCAGGAGGTCACGGTTCGATTCCCGGTCGGGGCACAGGCCCAGGTTGCGGGCTCGATCCCCAGTAGAGGGTGTGCGGGAGGCAGCCGATCCATGCTTCTCTCTCCTCATTGATGTTTCTCTCTCTCTCCCTCTCTCTTCCTCTCCGAAATCAATAAAAATACATTAAAAAAGAAGAAAAAGATGCAGCTTCAAGTTGGAGAGAAAATGGATGGGTAACTGGGCCAGGACGTAGGGGTCGGGGATGGCGGGGCGAGCGTGGGCCTCACTGTCCAAGCAGGTTTTGAGCCCCGAAGAGCCCCGTCCCTGGGGTGCCCGTATCGTTGGCAGAAGAGAGTGGAGTGGGTGCGGGCCCCTGCTGGGGCCCCCAAGCACACCGGCCAGAGGCGATGGAGGCAGCCGTGAGGAAGTCACCCATTTGAGAGCGATCAGGAGGGATTAGGAAACGTATTAAATAAGCCGGTGTTGTTCCAGGGCAGGCGGTGGTATAAACCCTATTAAGCAGATATGATCTCACCCTTCGAGCGCCCGGACTCCAAGCTCAAGACAGCGGCATTGACAAGTAAGACAGCTAAGGCGCAGGGACTGTTGGCGCACCGGAG